AGGGGAAAGAGAATACAGGCAGCAGACTGCTTGTAAACCTCTACCCCTCGACTGCGTCTCCAGCATAGTTCACCCCAGTTCTGTTTGAACATCTCCATTTTCTACTATCTCCCTTAAGAGTATGATCCCAGGTAATTTTTGTTAAAAAATGTATTGGGTATGTGAAAGCATAGAATTAAAGATATTTTATTCTAGTGTTTGGTTTATTCCGCAGTTTTCACATGTTTTACTTAGAATATATTTTGCTATTCTCTTGGCCTTCAAATGATGTTGTAATTCTTTCTTTTTTTTTGGCTGCAGCCGAGCGGCTTTCGGAATCTTAGTTCCCTGACCAAGGATTGATCCCAGCCCCCAGCAGTGAAAGCGCCGGGTCCTAACCACTGGACTGCCAGGGGATTCCTAATGTAATTTTAAGATATACTAAAAATATACCAGCTCATATAGAAGAATGAAGATAGGTCTTTTGGGTAGATTTTTCTAAATCCAGGAAAATTAACCTATTTATTTCCAGGTTAAAGATGAGTCCCATTTAATATGATAATTTCTTTCTGTTTGTTCTTCAAATAATGTACTACTGTTCCTTACATTTTATAGAGTGCTTGCTGAGGCAACTGTTCTTTTTACCTCGAGTCAAGAGGAAGTTACTCTTGCTGTTACTCCACTGAACGTTTGCATTAAGAGTTTTAATGAGGAATCAATGGGTAAGGATTATATCTGTCACTGTGCTTTGATGGAATATTACTTCCTGGCTTTCCTGATTACTGTACGGTTATACAGTACATATTAGTGACATAATACTTTTTCTTGTTTAAAAGGCAGTAAAATGTAGAAAGATCATTAAAATTTTTAAGAGACCTGAAAAATTTGTCACAATCAGTAATTAAAATACTTGGCTTTGAAATTCAGATTGTTTTATAATTAGAAGAATGGGACTTCTCTGGTTGCATAGTGGTTAAGAACCCACCTGGGGGGCTTCCCGGGTGGCGCAGCAGTTGGGAGTCTGCCTGCCGATGCAGGGGACGCGGGTTCGTGCCCCGGTCTGGGAAGATCCCACATTCCACTGAGCGGCTGGGCCCGTGAGCCGTGGCCGCTGAGCCTGCGCGTCCGGAGCCTGTGCTCCGCAACGGGAGAGGCCACAACAGTGAGAGGCCCGCGTACCGCAAAAAAATAAAAATAAAATTAAAAAAAAAAAGAACCCACCTGGCCAATGCAGGGGACACAGGTTCGAGCCCTGGTCCGGGAATATCCCACATGCCGCAGAGCAACTAACCCATGAGCCACAACTACTGAGCCCGAGTGCCACAGCTACTGAAGCCCACATGCCTAGAGCCTGTGCTCCGCAACAAAAAGAAGCCACCACAATGAGAAACCTGTGCACCGTGAGGAAGAGTAGCCCCTGCTCTCCGCAACTAGAGAAAGCCTGCATGCAGCAATGAAGACCCAACACAGCCAAAAATAAATAAATAAATAAATGTATTAAAAAAATAAAATTAGAATGGCTACTGAGAAAAATATTTTTTCAGTTAAAATTTTAAGGTCTATTTCTCATCCTTTGTATTTAGCATAAAGAAAAATTAAGAGGCCAGCAATCCAGTTGAGATGATCTTTGATCACATAAAAAGGAAAAGTAACTTTAAGTTAGAAATGTAAGATATTCCAGATGGCAAATATATAGGAGAGAAAATGTGAATATTTCTTAATGAATGAAATATTATTTTTTATAAATTTATTTATTTTATTTTTGGCTGCGTTGGGTCTTTGTTGCTGTGCGTGGGCTTTCTCTAGTTGCGGTGAGCGGGGGCTACTCTTCCTCGCAATGCACGGGCTTCTCATTGCTGTGGCTTCTCTTGTTGCGGAGCACGGGCTCGAGGTGCGTGGCCTTCAGTAGTTGCGGCACGTGGGCTCAGTAGTTGTGGCTGGTGGGCTGTAGAGCGCAGGCTCAGTAGTTGTGGTGCACGGGCTTAGTTGATCCGCAGCATGTGGGACCTTCCTAGACCAGGGCTCAAACCTGTGTCCTCTGCATTGGCAGGCGGATTCTTAACCACTGCACCACCAGGGAAGCCCCAACATGAATATTAAGTCAGCTCTTCTAAGAGTTATACAGATGGAATGGAGAAACTAAAGCATGATTAAGTCAGGAGTTTTGCTATTAAGGAAATTTACTAGGGTATTATGGGCACCACTTGTCTGAGACTCTTTGACCTTGGGGTTTTTTTTGGTGATAGCAGTAAAGAAAGAATACAAAGGAAGAAACGTTATTTTGAAGTGAAAAACCAGTATAACCAGGGCTTAAGTTGGGTCAGACAACTTTGCAGGGTCTAGTTTGTGCCAGGTTCTGTTCTAAATGGATTACATTTCTGAATCCATTTGATCTTTGTAACAAGTCTGTGATGTAGGTACTATTAGTATACATTTTCTATATGAAGAATATGAAGCACAGAGAAACTAAGTGACTTGTCTGCTGTCACACAGTTAATAAGTGGTGGATTATGATCTGAATATAGACTGTCAGGCTCCAGGGCTTAGTCTCATTACCACTGTGCTCTTATTGCTTCTCTCAAAGTCCCATCTAGCATTCTGTTTTGGCACTCAGGGGTGCATGATCTGGAAAATATATGCTTGGCTAGTGAAAGGGTCTGTTTTATATTCATAATGCCATCTCTGAATAAATGGCCGTTTATTCAGACACTGTCCCTTGTGAGCAGCTTTCTAATGAGTAGTTATAGTTATGGTTGACTGGGGACCCAATTGTTTAACTTTATTATTGAACTTACTCTACGCCAGCACACTGGGAATGACATGAGCCTTCTTTTTTTAAAATTATTTTTTTTAATATTCTGTTTCATATTCTTTTCCATTATGGTTTATTACAGGATACTTGACATAGTTCCCTGTGCTATACAGTAGGACCTTGTTGTTTATCCATTCTCTATATAATAGTTTCCATCTTCTAGTCCCAATCTCCCAATCCAGTGACACCCCCCCACCCCACCGCCCCCAGCAACCCCAAGTCATGACATGAGCCTTCTTGATTGAGATGAAGGTATTTGTAAGGTATTGTTTGGTCCTTTTAAAATATATATACCATTTCTCCTTTGTTCTTACACTTACATAATTCATGTTCATTGAAGAAAATTAAAAACACATAAAAAGCACTAATAAAGTCACCTGAAATCCCACTGTCTAGAGACAAGTACTCAATAGTTTGGTTCATCTCTTTCTATATACCTTAGATCTGACAACAGGAGATTGGTCTAGTGAAATACTATGAAGCTATTAAAAGTAGTCTTGGGAGTTCCCTGGTGGCCTAATGGTTAGGGTCTGGTGCTTTCGCTGCTGTGGCCTGGGTCCAAGCCCTGGTGAACTGAGATCCCACAAGCCATGTGGTGTGGCCAAAAAAAAAAAAAAGAAGTCTTGTGTGCGTGTATATATACATTTCTTTCTCTCTGGGTGTGTATGTCAAAGATGTTTATTGAAGTTAATTTTGTAGTGGAAAGCACAAAACACCAACACACATAAATAATTAGGAAAATGTACTTATTGACCTGGAAAAATAGGATATATTATTGAATAGATTATAAAATGGTATGCATAGTATCATATTTTCATTTTAAAAAATGCACATAAAAGTTTAATAAAATATTAGGGAACAAAATTCAACACCTCTGGGGGAAAAAAATTCAACACCTCTGTTATTGTCTGTCTTTTGGACGATAGCCATCCTAGTGGGTGTGAAGTGTTGTCTTATTGTGGTTTTGATTTTCATTTCTCTAGCAACTAATGATGCTGAGTATCTTTTTTTGTGTTCTTATTGCTTATTTGTATATCTTCTTTGGAGAAATGTCTGTTCACATCCCTTATTTTTCACTTGAGTTATTTGTCTTTTTATTTTTCTCCCCTTTTCATATATATGATTTCAAATATTTTCTCCCATTCTAAGTTGATTTTTACTTTTTTTTTTTTTTTTTTTTTGCT